CAAAACAAACATGAGATGTTTCGTTCCAATTCAGGCGATCCAGTCTATACTTGTATGCTGTGTGCATCACATAGTAACCTAGGCTAATAACCGGATTAAGGACACACAAAGTTTTCAAAAATATATATCATGGTTAGTAGAGGCCGATCTTTGATCGGGCGAGCGGGGGTGCTCACGAAGTGACCTTCCCCAATCGTACCCAAGTTCCCGAGCCGAGGCAACTTTGGTGATGACGGACACGTGGCCTTAGGCAACGAGTCAGGGTTTCCTAAATTTTCCAAAATAAAATATTTAGGTGGCGACTCTGTATCTGGCAAAGTAGTCCATGTTTGGCACTTCTTTCAAAAAAATCTGTTTTCAAAAACGATTTGCTGGATTTGGACTCTTTGATGATTCATCGGTCTTGCATTGCACTCTGCGAGATTAGATACAGGACCGTGACACAAATTGAGTCCGAACTGTAGTGAGGCCCCAGGGCGCATCTACAGTCACCTCCAACAAGATTAAAGAAACTTGTGAGAGTAAGCGGTGTGTCGATAGGACGCACGGTTAGAAATGTAGACCAAAAAATGTAATAAAAAAGGCGAAATGGGCCATTTGGGGGCAACATAAACAAAAAACCCCCCAAAACATCCTAGATATCATCATGGTCTCCTCTGCCTAGATTAAAGAAACTTGTGAGAACAAGCGGTGTGCCGATAGGACGCACTGTTATAAATGTAGACCAAAAAATCTGAGGAAAAAGGCGAAAACGGGCCATTTGGGGGCAAATTAAACAAAAAAAACCCCAAACATCCTGGAGATCATCATGGTCATCTCCGACTAGATTAAAGAAACTTGTGAGACCAAGTGGTGTGTCAATATGACTAGGGTTATGGATATATATTTGATATTAATGCATGCATGCATGCATGCTTAGCTTGTTAAGAGATGATCAACAAAACACTTTACATGCTAGATCAAAGTGATGTGCATCTTTGATATCCTAATATTTCTGATCTAGGGTTTTTTTTTTCAGCTGAGAAAGTGGAGTTCACAATACTTCAACGTTGGTCTTTTTGTTTCTTATGGCACAACCACTGCATTTATTGATCATTTTAGTATAGATCAACACTAGATCAAAGTCAAACTTTGCATAACGGCCCAAATGAAAGATCTTAGGTGTTATTTGTTGATCAAATGATATTATTTAGATTGTATTTGTGTTCAAGCAGCAAGGATACATCCCAATTAGACTATTCAGAATAGAATAATCCCGATGAAAGCTAACAATGAGAAACCTCTATACTTGCAGAGTAGAATAAATGACTAGCTCCAATTTCATAGGCTTCAAAGGATTATGGGACCCACAAGGTATAATGACAACCCAACTGTGATAAAGTAATAATCAGCATGTGTACTTATTGTTTTCAGTGCTGCTACAGACCCCCACTGGGGGTCGACCCCCAGTGACGTGGCGGGTCTCCATTGGCCAGTTTTTTATTTTTTTTTCTTTTCTTCCAATCCCGTAGTGCCACGTGGCACTGGGGGGTCGGTGGGAGTAGCATTTACTGGGGGTCCGGCGCATTTTTGTATTGCAGGAAAGAACACTTTAAATGGCCTTTGAAATAAACAGTGGAGCAGAGTCTATATTTCTCAGTCTTCTGGCTTTAATAATAGTTCATGAAATAAACAGTGGAGCAGAGTCTATATTTCTCAGTCTTCTGGCTTTAATAATAGTTCATAATGTAAAAGGCAGCATATGGAAACATAATATTATATATTTAAAAAAAAAATGAAGTTCAGACATGAAAAATTAAAGGCATGGTGAAAATAGAAACTGAAAGGTACACTGACATATTCCTTGAGAACAACTAAAGCCTGGACCATAAAACTCCCTAAGCCAGCCAGAGAAAAAGCAAAAATGACTCTAAAAAGCAACAAACACAAATATTAGAAGTCAACCATTTAACAGCCTTTGAATGCACATGAAGGATCTCCAATGACTTAACTTTTCACATTTGTGAAGCTCAAGAATACCTCAATAGCACGAACTACATTGGTGAACCCTCTTAATCTAGCAACATCAAGTGGAGTTTGACAATCATCATTCCTCACTAAAGAATTTGCTGAAGCATCAAATGAAGAATAATGATTAAATAAAGCATAAGTAAATCCAATAGACTTGGCACATATAGTTAAATATTGAACACAATTGATTCGGTCCTTCACCAAAACTTAAGGTTGAAGCACCATAATAGCCATATTTTTCTTTCCAATATTGAATCAATGAAACGAACCTCTATGGGAGAAAAGCAACATAACCATCTTATCCAAGCCTCTTTTCGTTGCATGATGTAAAGAAGTATCATCATGACGCCCTGAAGAAAGTATTTGTTAGTATAATTTAGAACAACAATGGATCAAATTCACCCAATTCCTATTTGATTAACCACCATCACCAAGAAAACTTATTACCAATAGATTAAAGAAATAAGCAAGGAAATAAGCATTGAACAATTTTTCATGTTCTATGCATATAGTAATTCCCAAAAGCTACAAATTGGGACATGAACTACATTTTACATACTTGGACGGTAAGCATTGACATTTACACCTAGTTCAATCAAAAGCTTGGCCAGAATGTATTGTTTAGGATTCATGTAAGCCACAATGAGTGAGGTCTTTCCTTCTTTGACAATCCATTGCATTATTATGAACTCCAAATCAGAATTAAAAGTTTAACCAATGCATATAGACTATTCAGAATTAGAAAGACTATTTTAACTTAGTTTTCATTGTTGAAGCACAGGTCAATATTGGCATATTGTGGAACAATAGTTGTAATTGATATATACATATGAATGATGTTTTATTTACAAAATGGTATTGATAGTCATTTAATTTGTTAATGTTTCATTTACTTTTCATGTACATTTTTCATTTTTTGACCAACTTTACAATAAAGTGATGTGTAAATATTTCAACAACAAGTTACCTGAAATTATTTCTCATTTTCTTTGGTACAGATGGATGATCTTGTGCACGAAGCTAAATTGTACAGGACTGATTGGCACTATAAGCATTTTTGGAAGGAATATATATTTTTCGATAGATGTGTATGGAAAAGATTTGAGTGGGCTAGTAGTTATATTTTTGGATGGACTAGTAGTTAAATTTTTGGATGGATGTGTGTGGAAAATATTTGGGTAGACTACTAGTGTGTATATTTTTTGATAGATGCGCATGGATAACAATTTAAAACATAATAACAAGTAATGGTTATGTTTTAAATTGTTATGCTAGCTGGATGTGACTTGGATGATTATATAGATTATAAGTGGATTTTTAATGGAGGAATATGTAGTTTGAGATTACCTGTGGATGAAAACTTATAATAGTTGATGACTTTCATTAAACAGGTTTAAGATTGGATGATTTATGTATTTTTTCGAATGTTCATGATTTAGTTGATTTGAATGATGCAGGCAAATTAAATATTATATTGAATGGATTGGATGAATTATTATGATTTATAGGTTTATTTTGTTGGATGTTGGTGACCAAATTTTGAATTTGTTTTTTCTGTTTTGGTGACCAATTGATTAGTCAGGAAAGATAACTAATACTTTTGCCGACTAAATAAGGTAGGCGAGAGGATACATTTGGCGACTAAATAATTAGTCATTAAAATCATTAATTTTGGCGACCAAAGGATTTTGTCGTTAATAGGTCAATTGCCGACTAAAGTTTTAGTTGCGCAAACATTCTTTTTCGCGATTAACACGTTTGGTGGTGGAATGTGACAATTGCCGACCAAACTTTTTGGTTGTGGAATGTGCCATTTGCCGACCAAACTTGTTGGTCGTGGAATGTATTGCCGACCAAACTTTTTGGTTGTGGAATGTGACAATTGGCGATCAAATTTTTTGGTCGTGGAAACGGGCCACAATTGCCAACCAAACTTTATGGTCGTGGAAACGGATTACAATTGCTGACCAAACTTTTTGGTCGTTGAATGTGCGAATTGGCGACTAACTTGTTTGGTCAGGAAAATATGACTTTTCGCGACTAAAATGTTTTAGTTACTAAATGGATTAGTCGCAGTAATTATATATTTAGCGACCAAAAATTTAGTCGGCAAATAGAACGTTTTCGCGACTAAAATTACTTTTTGCGACCCTCAATTGGCGACCAAAAAAATTAGTTGCGGATAACTTTTGCCGACTAAAAATGGCCTTTTGCCGACTACATTTTTAGTCGGCAAAAGTGCGAATTCCTATAGTGTAACTTCATTATTCATAAATTTTATCACAAAAAATTTGTAACTTTTATCACAAAAATAAGAACATTTCTTACAATGTGCATGTGTTCATTATAGCATTTCCCTATTTTAGATATGGACTTCAATAATAGATTTTAATCCTTTATTATTGATTGTCTATGGGCGTGGAGAGTTTTGTAGTTTGTCTATGGACATGGAGAGTTTAGTAGGCCTTTGGACAAGAAATTGTTTTATATAAAAAAAGATTTTGTAAGATCTTAGCGCTTACTATCTCACCAAAATTCATAGATAATGATGAAAGCGCAACTTTATTCCCTTCAAGGGTAACTCAGCCTTATCGAATCTATTCCCTTCAAGGGTAACTCGGCCTTACCAAATCCCCTCCAGCACCTACTCGCAAGGCATGCCCACTAGGGGAGCCGAACTTGAGACTTTACTCTGATACTAATTGTAGGACCTTAGCACTTACCATCTCACCAAAATTCATAGGTAGTGGTGAAGGCACAACTTTATTCCCTTAAAGGGTACAACGCCAAGCGTCACAAGTCGACTGTGACTCGGCCTTATCCCGGGTCTTCGCCATGGGTGGTCCAAACCCAGGCCAATAGATTTTAAGTAAGGAAGATTCTTAATTTGAGAAAATTGGCAGCCTTATTCTAATTTGGAAAACAAAAATGATAAATTAGGCAATTTAAGAAAGAGAGTTATTAGCCATCGGATTATTGTTGCATAATATCCCCCTTTGCATTTCCTTTTACCATTGGATCTACCTAGAAATTTTAATGGAGCTTGCTTGAGTTTTGATTTGTCGGGTATAAAGGTCCTTATCGTTTCTTGGGTATAGACGAATATACACTGGGGTAACTCATTTGGATTGACAGCTGATGTATAATTCCTATCACTTGTTTGTTGTTTAGATAAAGTCCTCGTTTGGCAAATGAGGTTTTTGGATTTCTTGGTTAAAATAGTTATAAAAAGATAAAATAGACTAAAAGGTTAATAAGACAAAATGTCACATTCAAATCATAATCATTTCATTTTTTCTCTCACAAAATCAAAAAAGTCAAAAAGCCTATTCCAAACAAGACTTTTTAGTCCTAAACTAAAATAATTAAAAAGTAAAAAAGCCAACTCACATCCCAAACAAAACCCAAGGAGGTGCGAAATGTCCAAAAAAATGGAGAGAAATAAAATTTTCTTTTAAGATTGTTGTTTTGTTCCTCATCAAAATTGGTGATAAACAAAAAAGTTATAAGTATATATATATATATATATATATATATTTAATACTTAAATGGTTTATCTAAATACAAAACAAAGAAAATGAAAAGACACCTGTGTTTTATTTTCTTTCATATGCAAAAAAAAAAAAAAAAAAAAAAAAAAAAAAAAAAAAAAAAAGAGTAGAGATAATGATATAACAATTTATAATAATTTTTTTTGACTAAAAACCTTATTTGCCAAACGATGCCATAGTATAAAAGTAGTAGTTGTTACTTATTTTGGTTTTGGTTTTTGTTTGGACAAATTATGACGGTAGTCCTTATACTTTGGTCTTTGTGTCAATTTAGTCTCTGTAATTTTAATTGGCTCGATTTTGACCCTGAATTTATAACTTTGTCTGAATTTGTCCAATAATTTGTTACAACGCTTAGCATTTTTTTTATAAAAAATATGAACATAAGTGTCAAGCATCATATTTTTAAGGGTAAAATTATAAATTTATTCAATTTAGTGAATTAATCTCAACTAATTTAGTAATAATTTTTCTTAAAAAATATTAACAATATTATCAATTGGACCAAATTGACGCAAAATCTAAAATTAAGGGTCAAAATCAAGTTATCAAGAGTGTAATGACCAAAATGATACAAGAAGTAAAATATATGGACCACCGGTATAATTTTCTTTTTCTTTTTTGTTTTTTTTTTAAAAGTAGAATTGAAAATAATATGAAAGGTTTTGGTCTCTTAATAAAATAGGAGAATTCTATTATATACATTTCATACAATATTTATCCTTAGTTAAGTTATTTTCTTCTTTAATTTTGACAAATTTTCTTCTTTAGTTATAATATTATTTTGAGATATTTGGTTATATAATCTTTGTATTTGGTTATGATTTTTTTTTTTTAGCTATGACACAAAAAGTATGAAATTATATAATTTTATTCTACAATTATAAGATGCGTATGGTACACATCTTTTGAGAAGTGTGTACCATAATCTTTCCGATAAAAGAAATGTATGATGCCAGTTGGCACAATTATGATTGAAAAAAAAAAAAAAGAAGCTACTATAACACTAGAATAAAATTTTAAATTTACGAAGATAAGTTTAACTATTGTCAGAAAAATGAAAAGGGTATAATAACAAATGAAATAGAAAAAATTAGTTTAACATCCCTCTCTAATATTGGATAGCAGGAGAGGTCCACAATATTATTTTATATTAGTTACGGTCCCTCACCCGTTTTTGATATTGTAAAATACCTAATTTATCCTTTCATATGAGAAATGCTGATTTTGACTTGAAAATTGAAGATATTTTTTATTGTTGCAGACACCCCATTTTGACCGGCCCTAAGACTTGAATGCTTCCTTTTGATTACTCGATGATGAAAATAAAAATGTGTTTCTTACACAATCCTCAGTAAGAAAGATGAAATTTGTGCTTTACTCCCAACCCTAAGCCTGTTTTGGCTACGTGTTTTAGACCCATTCAAAACTCTTTTTTAAAATATTCTTTTATGCATAGTTCTAACTGTAGACACCCCATTTTTGACGGTCCTCAAGACTTGGACGTCACCGTTTGAACACCCGGTGATCATCCATGTTTGTGTTCGTTTGGAGTTCCCGGAGGTCTCGGCTACGCGCCTTGCCTCAAGATCTCCAAACTCGGCTGTTCTGTGTTTGGTCTTGGCACCAAACACTTGTGTTTTGCCTTGAAGGGAGGGGAATGGCTTGTTGGCCATCCCCACATTCCACCGGCCTTCCCCTAGCATCACCGGCTGTTTAGGGGTGCCACCGGCCATGATTTCGTAAAATCAATGGCCGGTCGGCACTATATTTGGCCGGCCGGCACTTTATTTTGCCGGCGACCCCACGTCTTTCTTTCCTTTTATTTACCCGCTTATGATGGTAGACTAGGGCATATTTAAATTAGCATACCTTATGCTATGCATGCGTGCATTCATACATTTGTCTCGCATGCACCAGGCTCGGCGCATCATTCTAAACTGCATTTGTATTTCAATTCCAAATTGAATACGTGATAGTTGTAGCATTTCGCATGTCATTGTGTATTAGCCGAGCCTATCTTAGTCGCATCTTGCATGTGTTGCATTAGTCATCTTAACATGAACTAGGATCATGCATATGATTACTAACTAGTTTTTGTTTTGGCTCGGAGTATTCGGTAAGCATTT